GGATATGGTAATTTCCATTTCTTTACCCTGTCATTCCAATTAGCCATTATTTCTTTCTCCCTGTGTCGTTATCTTTACTGGCAACCAACTCAAAGCATTTGTTTAGTTTTTGACTGAAACCAGATTATTTTTGGTCTCTTCCATTCTCCTCCCCCCACCCCAATCCAGCATTGGAGCCAACTTCTTTCCTTCTTGGTCTCTTTTTATTTACGTGGCTGAAGAATCTTTTGCTATTTAATTTTCTTTGCAAGGTCTAACTCAGCTTGACTTCTGGCAATTCTCATTTTAGCTACACACTTCCTGACCTATAAGATTTATCTCCCTTTGCTGATCAATCCACTTTTTCCATTCTTTATAGGCTCTCAGCTGCCTCCAATATCCTTGTGACCTTTTGATTCATGCAGTGAGGTCCTGAGCCCTTCTCTACAAATTATTTCTTCTTGTTTGAGAAACAAGGCACAAATGTTTTTCTTATTTTTCAATTCAAGTCTGTGATGTCTTCAGTCCCATTGACTTCATTAAATAGTTTCCTCAATTTCTCAAAACTTGCCCTTTTAACAATCAAAAAACCTTAGTTATAGGCCTATTTTTGTCTCTCTTTGTTTTAATTTAGATTAAAATTCACACATAATCAACACACACACTTAACTCCTTACTGAGTAGGTGCCTGGGCCAGCAATGGAAAGAAGGAGCCACAGACAGCCATGGAACCATAATCAAAGCTCAGACATACATACCCTTCCTAATTCAGTGCAGATTGCCAATCCAAATTTTAGTTACTAATTTTAGGAGGAAACTGTATGATGTTTTTCCCTTTTAGCTGTAAACTGCATGATGTTCTTTCGTTTTAACGTCAAACACTGTTCTTCAAATATACCATACAACCAGCCCCAAACAACTTGCATTACACATACTACAGTCCATTTAGCATACCAAGTCAAAAGAACAAATAAGTGTTGTCCTAATATTAAAATACCTCCTGCTTGCCTAGGGAATGCATGCATTTAGTATTGGGTACATTTAAGAAGTAAAAATATTCTACTTTCTAAAGAAAAAAAACAAAAAACTTGACTTAATTAAGTTACCTGTACTTTGACTATCATTTAGTGTTTCTTTTTCCATTTTACTTTTGCTTCATTAAATGAACTTTAGTTGTCTTTCTAGTCTGGAATACAAAAATGTATTTAAAATGTCACATCCTTCCTTCACGCCCTTAGAAATATCGCTACTAAAGATTTTCAGTGTAGATATCTGAAACTTCACATTTGCAGTGTCAGAATTCTGCAAAGAGAAGGCACTGAAAGCACTGTCATTTATATACTGAAGCCCTAACACTAACGTGTGATAAAGGAAGACAGCATTAACAAGTGATACCAGCTGGTAAAGTATAGAGAATTATCTACAAATGGATTTGGAAAATACTATGGTTTTCTTAAGGCCTGTCTACACTAGAAAACTGCAATTATTTTAATTAAACCAGCATGATTAAAGGCACAATCTTCTTAATGCAGGTGCAGTTAGATCAGTATGCAGATGACAGGCCCCGTCTATTCCAGAGGGTTTGCTGGCATAACATTTACCAGCTCTACAAAGAAAAACAGCAGTATCAACAAGAGGTTCTACTGGTATATCTACCTACCTACACTAGGACTTCTACCAAGATCTCTGTTAAAAAAAAAAAAAAAACAAAAAACACACCCTAGTCAACATAGCTATTATGGAACAAATTTTAAATACAAGCTATGCTTTATGCTGCATTATTTCATGCAGGAAAGCACTGAATAATTCCTCTGTAGTGATATAATTGCATCCATACCAAGATTTATAGCATAAATATTATGGGGAGGAAATTATACTCTCACAGATTTACTTAAAATTTACCAGCTAAGTGTTGACCAGGCCTTAAAATCATCTTGTTATTCTAAAAAATAAACACACCAAAAAACAAACAAACAAAAATCAGTATGAACCATATTATCCCACCTTATAAAAAAAATTTGCCAAAGGAGAAAGCAAAAACAAATGCATCACATGACTAGGGATGTAGGAAAGGGGAGGGATTAACAGTTGCATTTAAAAGATGAGATAGTACTGCTTACAAAAGCATCTGTGGGGCATCAGAACTCTATACCTGAAGACCTCAGGACATCTTCACAGAGCATCTTTGATCACAACCACAGTTAGTTCAGTTACCACTGAACCACTTGAGAGCACCTGGCTGCAACTTCCCACCCAAAGATGATAAAGCCTATGGAAGGGAAGTTAATATTGAGAGACAAAATGCAGTTATTTGGGTCCTTTTGACTAGTCACACCTTTCAACATAACTGATTTTAGCTCCATCTCTCAACCAGTTTCCTCAACATGACAAAAAACGATTGCCACAAAGAGGACTACCAGTGACTTGAGAAAAATGTTGTATAACCACGTCTATGCTACCTTTTCCAGATGTTATCTTTTCTATGTTAAGCAATGCTGACGCTTAACTTTAGGCACAAATATCTCTGAAGTTCACACATTCGTCTTTACGAAATCTAAAGCTGCACTCTGCTCAGTAACTGTGGACGCTGGATGCTTTGCAAGTTTCAGAGAACATCAAACTATAATAAATAGCGTGAGTTGGTGTTTCTCAAAGTGTGATCAGTCAGGCCCTTGTAAATGGTCTGTAGATCATGCCAGGCCCTCTTCCCCTTTCATTAATCAGAAGCTTGATGATCAGAGTGTATGGCAGCCTGCTGGAAATTTTGAGGGTTGACTCTGTTGGTTCAAAAAGTCTGGGAAACAAAAGTTTGGGTTTCCCAATCCAGAAATGTATTGGAGTAATACAGTGTTTACTTCAAACTTAGTTAAAAGTTTGGAAAAAATGATTAAAAGTACCCTTATAAAACTTTATCCATTTAAATGTAAGAGAATATCTTAGCTGAAGTTGACACAAACAGACCACCCATTAAGGGTATACAATAGTTTCTGTCTATACACAATCTGAAGTAATTTATCTTACAGTTTAATAATTTATTATATACAAAAATGTAAGTAACACAAAACATGCCCTGCATTTTTAAGTGTTAATTTAGCCTCACCCTCATGTTAGATAAATAATTACTAGAGATATTTTATAGATAAGGAAACTGAGCAACAAATGACCTTCCCAAAGTCACTCAGCAAATCTGTGACAGAATTAGGAACAGATTCAATTACTTAAAATTATAGTAGTGTTAAGAGTGATGCTGTAGCTGTAATAGCCCAGGAATCCTGAGAGGCAAGGCTTTTTGGGGGTGATCTCTTTTCCTGGACCAAGTATAGTTAAGATAAAGTTAAATAAGCTTGCAAATGCAAAGTGTTCTTCAGATGACCTCCAGGCACAGATCTTCAGGTGACCTAAAGCAGTGGTTCTCAACTTTTGTACCACAACCCATTTGTAAGACATCCATGGCCAGTCCCGAGCCAGTGCCCCTAACTTCCAACTTGCTGCCCCTGTAATGTGTGGGGCACAGGGTGGGTGTGTGGTGCTGGCAGAGATGTGCGTGGTGGGATGGGGGGTGGGGCAGACAAGCAGCCCCTTGCAAGCTGGAAATCTACCAACCTGTTAGGGAAAAGCCATGGTTTCCCACATTTTTCTCCATTAAAAGGAAAATCCATTTTTTTTAACTATGTTGATCCATTTTCAAAGTTTGTTGGTGACCCTTTCACATATCTTTGCAACCCACTTTTAGGTCATGACCCACAGGCTGAGAATCACTGACCTCTAGAATGCTTTTCATTCAAAAGCATGACTAAATTTATCCCAACTGCACAGTTGGTCCAATACAATTAAAACACCCCAAAAATCCTTGCCTCATACAATTATAACTAAGTTATAAGAAGAACTACCTTCCTAGGTATTTGAAAGGTGCATACTTTTCTGGCCTAAAAAGCAAGAAAGCGTCAATTTAAGTTCAATGGGCCACTGTGGAGAGCAGCAATAGAAGACCAAGTGACTTCATTGCTGCCCCTCCTCTCAGAAGTACAGTCTTAACAACATTAAGACTTTTCAACAAGTTCTCTCTCACCTAACATTTCCTTTACGCCAGATTCGCCCTTTGAAACTAAACCGGTTAGCAGCCCTTAAAAAGCCAGCCACTGACAGGCCTAATTTCACATCATGTTGTGACAGATGTCTGCCAGATTCTGAACAGGGCATATGCCTGGCCCAGAGGAAGAAGCCTTGCGCTCTGCCCTACGGAGAGAAAGAAAGAGAAGGAAGGAAGTCTGCACTTCTCACAGAGTCAGAAAAATAGCTTGGAAGGCTTAAAGAGCAATTACTTTCAGCCTCTCCAGGGCCATCCGTTTTCCCTCCACGTGAACGAGGAATGTAACAACCACGCTCATTTTCCACACTGCCCCGCACCGGAACTGGGACGTCCCGCTCCTGAAGTTACGGTTACCTCAAGTCGTGCCACTACCAACGCAAAATCATTGGCCCTGCAGCAGAGCCACCTTAGCCCTGCGGCTGTCACCTTGGGCATCAGCCCCGCACGCCCCATTGAGAAGCCCCTCGCAGCTGCGTGCTCCGGCCCCGCAGGGCCCGATCCCCGCAAAGCCCCGTGCGTCTGCTGACCTCTTGTGCCAGGCACCGTCCCGCCGGAGGCTCCCTGCACTGGGGAAGCAAATCCCATTCAAGCCGAGGCACAAAAGAAGCGGCAAGGGCTGGGGGGCTGTCCAGCCACCCGGCACCTGGGGGTGGGGGCAGCCTATTCAGCCTCGCATCACAAGCCTCTGCGCGGCGGGAGGAGGATCCCGACCGCGTCCAGCCCCTTCATCCCCCCGGAGGAACTTCTCGGTGCGGCGGCGGCCCATCCCCCCTTCCCTTCCCTTCTCTTCTCGGGGACACCAACCCGGCAGCTTCCCGCGCCGGGGAAACTTCCCTTGCCGCGGGGCCGGCCGAGCGGGAGAGCGGCCGGGCTGGGGGCCCCCATGCAGCGCCGACAAGAAGCCTGCGCGGCCTCCCCGCAGCGCCCTTACCTGCCCAGCCACGCGCGGGCCCGGGGGCGGGGAAGGCGCCTCGGCTGCCGGGAGGAGCAGAGCAGAGCCCAGCCCCCGCCCCGCCCCGCCCGCAGGACGCGCCCCCTCCCCCTGTCTCTACCCGCGCCGCTGCGCCCGGCAGGCGTTTCATCGGGGGAGCCCATCCTCCGCCCCGCGGGCCTGTGCCTTCCCGCCGCCGCCGTCTCAATGGTTCGGTCCGGGCTGGAGGGGGGAGGCTGCCCGCACCCGGGCCCCTCACGTGCGGGCTCTGCACTGGGGGCGGCGGGGCCCGGCTCGCTGGAGTCCGCAGGGCTTGTGGTGATCACTCGGGAGAAAGCCCAGCCGGAGGAGAGCTGCTTCTTCGGGCCCGGCTGCTTGATGCGTGACATTATTATTGATCTAGTAAAAGATATGCATCTACCCAAAGAACCTGGCCTGCCCAACCACAAACCCGGCATGGTATTATCTTACGTTTTTATTAGTATATTTGTGCATTTTTTATGCCTGCCTATGTCCTTACACCAACACGGCTACAGCCGAAAACCTGGCATGGTATTATTTGACATTTTTATTAGTATATATTTATACATTTTTGATGCCTGCCTACGTCCTTAGACCAATACGGCTACAACCAAAAACTTCATGACATTATTTTACATTTTTATTAGTATATTTATAGGTTCGATGACATTCTAATTGAGCATGCCTAAGTCGTTATTATTAACCACCGTTAATTGTGTAAAGATTTGCTTTGAGAAAGGAGCCAGGAATAAGGAACCAACTGGGGCCTCATGAACAAAAATGTGTCTGAGGGGGCTTCTTTTCTATTTCATCCAGGAAGAGCACAGACCAACTGCAGACTCTGCCTCAACCTGACAAGGGTGTTTGTACTCAAAAGCTTGCAAACCAGATTTTTTCCAACTATTTTAGTTGGTCTAATAAAAGATATTGGATTTACCCAAAGAACCTTGTCTGCCTCTGAGGGGAAAATGGCACTTTTAAAGGCATAGATGGGAAAAATCAGTAGAGCCCTGGACAGTTTCCTTCCCCCCACCCTGTTTTTTAAGCCTGGACAAGCTCCCTTCACATCTTGTTTAGCCTCCCATCTCAAGCCTCTCCAAGAGCAAGACCTTGGGAGGAGGAACCCTACAGGCTACAACCTCCTCATCCCCCTGGAAGAAGTCTTTCCCTGTCTTTGCAGCTGTAAGAGCTCCAGGCTCCTCTCCACAGCCAGCCACACCAAACTACCTTAAAAAATATACCAGCAGCTTTCTGAGCTGGAGAAACTTTCCCCACCTGCTGCTGTGGCTCTCCAGAAATAATTTCTCATCATTCTAATTTATACTTAATATTTTTTTTACTACATCTGGCAGACTAACTACAATAGGCACAGTGTGCACCCTTGGAAAATCCAAGTAATTCACTGAAGTAGGCAGAGTTAAACTGAATGTGTGTAGTGCTGACAGCACAATTTCATACAAGGACTGGCTTCTCCGCTGTCTAAAGCAGCCTAGCCACAATGTCTTTGGTGCCAGTTGATGCCAGCCAAGTATTGAACTAGTGGTTCTTTTTGTAAATTAAGCTTTTTATGACATAGTGATCAATCTCGGTACTGGAGATAGTGGAGACCATTTCTTGCATTTGCATCTCTGCTATGCAAAAATGCATGGCAGATGCACAAAAACTGAAGCTCCATCAGGCACCTGTTCATCCAGTCTTTGTCAGTACACATGCTTTAAATTAATAGCTCACTTATTTTGTAACTTGTTGGATCACTCATTCACATTTGCACTTTCCTATATAAGTATCAAAGACACCCTTTTTTCACAATACTCAGGTATTCTTCCTGTATGCATTCTCCTATTATTCTATTTCCTAATTTGAAATCACCAATTTGAAATCAGTTCCTGACTGATTTGAAGACTTTCCATTCCTAGATGCAGTTTCTCTTTCATCTACTACCCTAAAACATGTCCTGCCCTTTACAGGTGAAATATATTCAGGTGTTAATTGCCCATGCAAAACCCTCTTTTGCAGTTAGGCCAGGTATCAGCCATCTATATGGGAGAGTCACAGGCAGAAAGATGCATCCAATGCATGGGATGGAGGCTGTGCCAGCCCTGAATAAGTAGGCACAAAGGAACAGGGTTGGAAATGCCTAGCACTAGCATTCCAGAAGGACATTCAATAGTACTACTTCAGCTCACATAATTGACTACTAAGGCATCAGTGAAGTATATAAACAACCTACTTCCAGGCTGTGTGCACATTTCCTATCCACACTTCACTGTTTGACAGTAATGTAACGGGGGAGAGAGGGCAGAGACCATGGCACCAGCCCCAGATACTGATCCTGGGGTGGAGGTCAGTTCAGCACAAAAATAGCAGAAGCTGTGCTACAGCCTCTGATGCTGCCCTGTGTGACTCTCCTGCCAGAGTGTTCATGTGCTCAGTTATGCCTATGCTGCTCAAGCCCCCAATTACTTTTTGTGTAAAGAGGAGTGAATTTGTCCTAAAAATAACCAGGGTTGACCTAAGACACAGCCAATGAATAAAGCCCCCACGCCTGGAGCAACCTAAATGGCTTCCACTAAAAAATAAAAATAAAAAATAAAAAAGTGGTTTTATACTACAAATAGTCATGAAGAAAAGCATGAAACTGCAATTAACATAATAACCACAGAGGCAGCTGCCTGAATCAGCAGACAGCATGAAACAGAAACAGTTTTGAGAGGCATAAGCTGCACCATGTATCTCAATTAGTGCCAAGTGCATAAGGGTCCATTCTAACGGTCTTTACTACCCACATTGTTGTAAAGGACTGTGGTGTAGTGGGAGAAAACTACATTGTTCCCAGCCCACCTGCCTGGACATAGGCAACTTGTAGAGGAAGCACAGGGGGGCACAGCCCCCCCGAGATTGGCCACTGCCGCCACTGGCTTCTGCAGGCAGTTGCCACTCGCCACCATCCCTGCCAACACTGCTGCCGGCTTCTGTGGGCGGTGGCCGATCACAACCCTCTGCCTGCCGATGCCACTGCCAGCTTCTGCGGGCAACTACTGCTCGCCACCCCACTGCCAATGCTGCCACCCACAAATTGTGCCCCCCCAGTCTTGGGAGGCGCCAGTAGTTCATGTATCTGGATATGCCTGGTTATGTAGCTGATCCTTTTCTACTCTGTAAGCCTCTCCAGACCTGAAGAGGAGCTCTAATGCCATTCCTAAGGAAGAAGATGTATTACTACCCCTTCTACTCTAGGATGGGAAGGCTCCCCCTAACTATCCTATTTTAAGATGTCCAGAAAGCCATGGTTCAGAGAATAAAACTATGGGAAGTTCCACGTCATAGTGCACCTACAGCCTTACCTTAGTCTTGAAAGTAAGTGCTATGAAATGGTCTAAACAGAATCTATGGGTACCTATATACATACTCTGACATGTTTTAGTTAGAACACCCCAGCATACCTCATCATCACTTATATTCAGTGTTCTGCAACTCCAAATGGTGGCAGGGGTGCTTTAACTAAAACTCATTGAACGACCTTTGGTTAAAGCGCCTCCATGGCCATTTTGAAATGTAGGACTCTGAATATACATGATGCTTCAGCTTTCTAATTAAAGCAGTTGTTCAGGAGCTGTTCTAATTAAAACACTCCTCTGCACCCTAGTATACATGTATACACACCCTTCAATTCCATCTTGATATGCCAATTTTTTCAAAGTTTGGGGTCAGCAACATACAGCCTACGATGCCACTGGATACAGCCCTTGGAGCTGGAGGGCTTTGCCTGTGCTCATGTCAGGGCCAGGCAGTTTCCAGCTGTACCTGCTCTACTAATGCTTCTCCCTGCCCTCCTGGCTCCGATCCAATGTGAGCCAGGTAGTTTCCATGGCATCAGCAGTGAGGAGCTTTGACTGCACCTACTCTGGGGCCAGGCAGCTGAGAGCTGCCCCTGCACTGCCACTGCTTCCCCCAGCCTCCTACTTCCCAGCTGCAGTAGGAGTGCAACTTCCCAGCCAATGGAAGCTGCATCAGGGCCAAGCATCTGCCTTCCTGGGCTATGGCATGGGTGCAGCTTCCAGCCAATAGGAAGCTGCACTGGGGCTGAGCAGCTTCCATCTGCACCCAAACTTCAGTTGGGGAGCAGGGACTGGGAGAAGTGGCAGTGGCATGGGAGCAGATCTCAACTGCCTGACCCCAGTCCAGATGTGGGGAAAGCACCCTGCTGTTGATATGTCACTGAAGCCACCCAGCCCACGTTGGATTGGGTTGTTCCGGGCCACAGCTTTTAAAAAAAAAAAAATAGCTTGCCAGGCCGTGTTGTAATCACTTAGGAACATCTACTCTTTGCTGTTTTGTCCTTGATGATGAATCAAAGGTGTCCATCAAATTGTTTCTTATATTACTCACTGACAACTTTTCACTCCCACTTGTCACATGATGGATAGCATCATTAAATTATGCCATCTTGCATGCAGCTGCTGCCTCTAGGAAGAGGTGCAGAAGAATACATTTAATATCTCACCTTTTTTAATGTAGTCATTAAGGTCTGGTTTTCAGTCTCAATACCATCAGCTCATTAAGGTAAGTAGACAGAAACCTTCCTGTTCACAGGCAAAAATAAAGATCAATGGTCTTGCTTTGTTCACCAAGACTCATGGATTCCAACAAATTCCAAAAGCTGCTAAAGGACAACAGCACTATACTCCCCAGTGCAAGGCTTCAAGGACCTGATGATGAACCACCTCTCTTGTATGCCAGCCCTGACAGTTCACAGACTTTTCTTCCACCACATCCACATATTTCCTTGTTTTTCTGGTACTGAGTACTGGCTGAAGAAAAAAGGACTAAAATTCAAGCACTGATGCCAGAAAATAAAGGAATAAGTCAGACAAGAAAAAAAAGTTAATTCCTTGAAGTCTATGATAAGTCTGCATCATAGACCAAGAGAACTTTCTTAACCAGCTTCCACTGAAGTTGCTTGATCTCCCTACCCAAGGAGTACTGCAAAGTGGTAAACTACTTAGTCAATCCTGAGTGCCTACAACCTGCATCAAGCATTGTGAAGAATGATC